AATTAACATAAGCTAAATTTTGAAGAAACAAAAACTGTAAATCTGTGAGACCATGAGTGTGTCAAAGATGTAAAAATAAGTGTCCACATGAATGAATCTCAAATGAAGGATCTGATTCATTTGTTTGTTGAATACAATGATGTTTTCATCTAGGAAGTAAGTGACATGCTAGGGATGAGTACCAATGTGCTGTCTCAGAAGTTTCCGATCAATATGGGGTTCAATCAAGTGAAACAGAAGGCTCAGAAGTTCAAGCTTGAATTAAGTTTAAAGACTAAAGAAGAGATCACCAAACAAATTGAGTCTTGATTAGTGGAGTGACATAATTCTCAACTTGGTTGGTCAATGTTTTTCCTGTTGCCAAAAAAGATGGGAAGATCGAAATTTGCATCGATTACAAATATATCAACAAAGGCAGCCCAAAGGATAATATTCCATTGCAAAATATTCACATTTTGATCGATAACTATGCTAAGCATGAAATGTTCCTTATGGATGAAGAATATGAATAAAATACAACTTTTATTACGCCTTGGGGTGTATATCATTACAGGGTGACACCATTGAGTCTAAAAAATGGTAGTACTACTTATATGAGGGCTATGACGACCATATTTCATGACATCATCCACAAGGAGATCAAGGTGTATGCACATGACAGCATAGTAAACTACGTCGAGATTTCTTACCTCTTACCACATTTACAGAAGTTTTTTGATCATGTAGATCATTAAGCTTAAAGTTAAATCCCACTAAATGTTTTTTTGATGCCAGCTGACGTGTTATCGAGATTTACAGCCAGCAGAAGTGGTATTGAGCTCCATGCTTCGAAGATGAAAGCCCTTCAAGAGTTACCTGCTCCGAAGACTTAGAACGAAGTGATGAGTTTCTTGGGTAGGTTGATATACATTGATCAATTGATATCTCAATCAATAGTAGAGCCTATCTTCAAGCTCTTGAAGAAAGATTCCTTCACAAAGTGGACCGAAAAATTCCATACTGTTTTTGACGCCATCAAGAATTATTTGTGTAATCCATCATTGTTTGTTCTTCTGTGAGAAGGGAGTCCATTGTTGTTTTATTTGTCTTTTTCAGATAATGACAATTGATATGTGCTTGGTCAACATGACAAGCTGGGAACAAAGAACAAGCTAATTATTATTTGAGCAAGAAATTCACTATGTACAAGGCTCGTTATACTCGTTTGGCGAGAATGTGTTGTGCTTTAATATGGATTGTTAAGAAGTTTAGACAATATTTGACTTCTTATACCACCTCATTTCCAAGATGGACCTATTGAAGTATATTTTCCAGAAAGCCATGCTGATCGGAAATTTGGCTAAATGGAAAATGCTTTTGAGTGAATTTTATATTGTGTATGTGACCCATAATGCGATAAAAGCACCGTCCATGGATATCGTCTTGTAGAAAATCCTATAGATAAAGAATATGAACCTCCCATGACTTATTTTCCTGATGAAGATGTATCGTATGTGGGTGAAGATATTTCTAAAGCATACCGAGATTATAGAGTATTCTTTGATGGAGAAGAAAATCATCAATGTAGAGGTTTTGGAGCTGTTTTAATTACAGAATCTGGTCAGCACTATCCTTTGGGATCCAAGCTCCTATTAAATAGCACGAACAACATGTCCGAATATAAAACATGCATTCTTGGGTTAAAGATGGTAATCGACATGAATGTCCATGAGTTGGTCGTTATTGGAGATTAAGATATGTTTATTCATCAAGTTCAAAAATAATGGTCCGGGAAAAACCCAAAAATCACGTCGTATGTGCAATATATAAACAAATATTGCAAGAGATTCAACAAGATTGAGTTTAGACACCCTCTCAAAATACAGAATCAGTTAGTCGATGCTCTTTCCACAATTGCCTCAATGTTTAAGCATCTGGATACTGATTATATTGATCCTCTAGATGTAGAGATGAAATAAAACCTGACCCATTGTTCACACGTTAAAGCAGAAAAAGAAGGTTTACAATGATGTTCTAGGTGTGATTCCTTAGAAATTGAGTTGTTTCTATTTTTAAAGAATAGAAAAGGGTGAGCTTTGATGTTATGATCGTTTTATGGCTAAAAGAGTAGACGTAAAGATATTTTTTTAAATTTGGTATGTGATGCCATTTATGGTTAGGTGTGAATTATGAGATTGGAAGTATTGTGATGAGAAACTTTATGGTTCTTTAGTTGTATGCATGGCAAGAGTAATAATGATGAATAATGTTCTTTAGAAAATAAATGAGTTATCTTGTGATTATGTTCAATGATGGTAGATATGCTTTAAGGTGTGAATTTGAGGAAATGTTGAGGGAATGTGGAGATTTTGTAGGAGTTGAGGGAAACCCCCCTGTTTGGTTAATGTTTGAATTGTCATTCTTGTTATTTGGTGGATGTTGTGGTGTAGGATTATACTAAGATGGAAATGTGGTATGAATATTTAGTGAGGAAGTTTTGTTCCATGAAATTGAGTTAAGTGATGCCTAAGAGTTTAATGAAGTGATGTTTAAGAGAGTTCTCTAAGCTTGAATCCTACGAGGAAACTGTTATGCTTAACTTGTAAGTTTGATGATTTATGTTCATGTACATGAATTTAGGGTAGTGTGAGTTCTTACCTTGTGAGTGGCAAAATGGTGCTTTGGAGTACGCGACATTGAAGATTATTTTACTCTATGTGGGGGAGAGTGAGTGGAATATAATGGCATGTAATGTACTCAGTCCAAGAGATTCCTCAAGTATTACTAAGTGGGAGTGGTTGTATGGGATGCTACTCTCACATTACACTTAGTGTAAATTGCCATTTTTTTAAAGTTGCTTGGAAAGTGCATTATAGATTTTTTAAGAAAGATATTGCGAATTTTTTAGTTCACTCTAAAGAAGTCCAATTTATGAGAAAATTGCATTTTTCATGAACAATGGTTTAGGTTTTTTTAGAATTGATTTTTATGTGTCTTTACCATCTTAAGACACAACGCAATAGAATATAATAGGGACGTGACCCTTAACAACATAAAATATAAGTCTAGGCTAATACATTAACTTAAACAACTTGTTGACATAGGCAACCCTTGAATCTTAATGGCTCCCTAGATATATCGAAGATCTTGACTAAGGAGACATCCTCTAGCCATAAACACCTACACTTTGTGTAAAAATATGAATAAGAATAGTGTTAGTACAAGAATGCACTAAGTATGGCAACCATGCAAAAACGTGCATTCAAAGAGGACATTTTATTTGAAATCATGAAACATGGATTCTAGTAAACTTCATGAACATAGGAAAATATAAGCTCAATTTAGTTCTCATACATCATATAGATATGGATTCTACTCATAATAGCACATTAAGACATTTATCATACATTTAGCATATTCAATACATATAATACATTACCTCTGTTTTATTTAACCTCTTTCCTTAAGTAACCCTAACATTTACTAAGAACAATGTATCACCTTGAGGTAACCCTACAATAGCCTTTCGCAATATGATTCATAGCACAACCACATATATATTCATAAGTCTTAAACATCTAATATAGATAAACTTCACATAAGGATTATCGCCTAAGAAATCTCCGAAGTCACACTAGTGCAATGTGCCGGTAGCATCCCACAATACTACTTCCACAAAGTGTACCTATGAAGTCACCCTAGACTAGACATCATCATACTTAACAAGTCATAACACTTTAATTCATATCTAAACATAAGGCCACATACTTCATAGCATCACCTAACGATTCTTTCCTTTACTATAACCTTAGTCATAACATATTTAGTCCATATTATATGTAAATCACCGTCACAACTCCTTCACAATCTTACTTGTGCTATGTAGACATGGAGTCCCATACCCTCACATATACTAAGTAAACTCACATAGAAGCCATGATTGTAATTCCCACAAATTATCATAATTAATATCTTTACATAGCAAAGTCACTTAATATGCCCTCATACAATTCATTAATTCATAACATAAGTGTTACTTTCATACATATACGAATCTTATCCTTTGTTGGAGTTCACCAATACAATGCATGGGTAGGGTCCATAGTCCTACCTATACTAAGTAACCTCCTAAAGGAGTTGTGATTATAGTCCACAATATTATACTAGTTCATTTATGAATTTGGGATACATAGCCATAACCGACATAGACCATGTGACCTACATGGAAGTCGGTATTCTACTCCTACACCGGAAAGAGAGGTACCACTTGCCAAGGTAGGACCTCGTTAGAAATAGCTATTCTAGTTGATCCACTAAGTTAAAAACCTACAGGTCATGTAACAAGGAGATTGCTTCCAGAAACCTTGACACTCTAACTAAATGATGGGAATCCAGACTTACTTAATGTGAAGGTTCTCTTTTTGAAATGCTAGACTTACTAACGTGAAGCTCCAACTCTAATTTATCATGTTCACTAGGTAGTAATCTCAAACTCCCCTTTTAAACTTATTTATGCCTTAAGATAACATTAGTTCATAAACATTCGGCATTATGGTCTTTCTCTGTCATAAATCATATGGCTCAAAGGTATCTACGATGAGAATGTCCTTTCACCATTGAACCTACATAATGTGATATGTCTTTTCATTTAATCATATCAAATTCATACTATATTTTAGTTTAGAGTACAATTGAGTAATACATTTCAAGAGACTCCCTTATTCTTTAGACTACTATTAACATACTTCATTCGTACATGCAGGTGTGTGTGTACATATATAACTTCACATAATGTACCGAACCGCAAGTACACCCTCTAGAAGTTAGAGCATCCTTGTGTTGTCACATGGCAAATGAGACTTCAAGTGTCTCATCTAAGCCTCTTGTATCATTCATTGCATAATATACATTCTAAAATAGGTAAGTTTAAAAAATTTCTTAACACACGACGAGCCCTATAAACATTACATTAGTGGAATACTTTCATTTAAAATATTAAATGTTTAATACATCTTCTTGAACCATCTAAACTTTAGAGTATACAAAACATGGGACTAATCCCATACAATATAATAAAATGAAGTCTATGATATAAGGAACATGTTTATATGTCCTTGAATCGATGAGGACTCACCAATAGTTCAGATTCAGAGCTTGAAAAACCTATCCAACCTCCATGGCACATCAATATTTCTAATTCCCTACACTTTATTCAAAAATGGAAAATAAGTGGTTAACATTAGATGTAACAGGAATGGAAGCCATGTAAAAATGATTAAAATGGGACAATTAGTAAATATCATGCTTTTCATGAATTTTGATTGAAACATCATACTATGAGCATAAGAACAACATTTAACAACTTAGAAATATATAAGAAATCATTTTAGCAAAAAGCCACATTTTTAGACTACATTACAGTTAATTCACTTCACTTCACTTTAGACATCTTCATGCATGTAATTATTCCACTTAAAATTATCCTAAGATTCACTTAAGCAACACAAAGAGAAACCTCCCATACAATCTCTCTTGGAATTCCAAAATTATTCTGAAGACTACTTATGATGAGTCACATACGCACTCACAGGACATCAACATATCAACATCTAGAAAATATGACATCTTCTCATCAAAGGTTATAAAAAGACATACTTAAGTAGATCAAAAAGATAACTTCCATAATTGACCTCTTAAAGACTACCTAAATAATCCTTAAGAATTCCTAAGTTTGGATCATATTCACATAAACAATCATCTTCCCTTACTAGATTCATTCTTAAGACTTATATAGGTAAGATAAAAACTGACCATTCCTATGCCCCCTTCATGCCTTAACTAGAAAACCCTTAACTACTCTACATAAGTACTTATTCATTTTAACATAATTTATCAACTTAAGTCATTATATTCATTAGTTCGTTTAGGCGACATTCAACAAATAAAGGACATTCAAGTGATTGTCTTGGACAAGACCCAGGGACTCTAACTAATACATTCAAAGCCTATTGTCCATTGTCTAGATAGCGTCTTATACCACATCCAAAACTTCATAGAACTTCTCTAATGCTAGTAAGTATCCCACATATTGGTTATAGGCAATAACCAACATAGACCATGGTATAACATAGACACATCTCATGTAGAAACATGGTTAAGGAATATGAAGGACATGCTTTGTAATGTAGTCTCATACTTAACAAGCACTATTTCCCTTACCATATCCACTCGCTGCTAGCCTTATTTCCCATAGATTAATTCACACATAAGGTTAACATAAAAGGTTTCCCTATGAAGTTCAAAACACTATTACATTTACCCTACCAAAGAGGTCCTCTTAAGGATACATTCCAATGAGGACAAGAAGCTCATGATGACTTTCCTATGGACAAATATGATGTCTTTCAATCCAATTAACCTTAAGTCAATCATAACTTAACTTTGAAGGATACCATTACGGCTTACGACTTCAATATTCATAACCTAACAAATATATTCAAGGTTTCACAAAAAAGACCCTCTTAACTTCATCTAAGGTTACATATCCTTCATACATTCAAGACTAATATATTTAACATCCTATGTGAGGACAATGCATATCCATAATAGTATATACCTCAAGAAAGGGACACAAGTCAACCAAGACAAGACACCACATACTTCAATTTATTTCATAACACATACCGTTCTAAAAACACATATATATGTATAAGCATATCATCTTCAGTTAATCCTACACACTATCATAAAATCATCAATGTGACCACTTAGACTTTTATAGTCATGTAGGGATAACAAAGACTCAACCCTAAGACGAATATACATACAAGATGAAAGTCATGGTCTAACATAATAACCTATATAACATAAATAGAACACATATACTTTCACATTGCTTAACATGTAGAAAGATATCATCATACTTCAAGTAGTGCCAACAAGGCCATGATCATCAGATTGCACAAACTAACGCCGACAAGGCTACACCAATTGCAAGTAAAACACGTAACACCGCCAACTGAAGTGTACCATACAAATCATAACATAGATGGAGTATAAACAACATAAAAATAAAGGAAATAGGGCAGCTTACCACCACAACATCCTCAACACCTCAATTTGATGCCAAGTCAATCAATTCAACACAATAAGGTCCTTACCAATGTCCATGAACATCAATTAAATACATAAAAAATTATACTCAATTAATCTAAGTCTATACAATATAGATTTATCAATTTAAGATCAACTAGACATCAATTGAATACAATTCTTACTTTATTGAATAGCCCTATAGAAAACAACTTTAGTATTCATAAGCATTAAGTCAATATCAATTTATTAGAGTTAGGAGTCAAAATATCTAAGAATATTCAATAAACAATTGATCAAATTGAAACACCCTATAAATAAATTAATCCTAATCCATACATAAATAGAAATCCCATAACAATATACACATGAATTCATCAATATTATAGCATGATCACATAACCCATATTTTAGTCAAATTGAGAGATTTGTGAAGATCATGGGTTCATGGAGAATTTAATCCGAAAAGATCAATTATACATCAATCGTATCATATCTTAATATTTGAAAACCATCTATGCAAGAACTCAAGTCATAGAGAAGAAATTGAACTTTTCTTCTATTTAAAATCATGTAAAGTAATATTTGAAACTGGATCCAAGGTGATAGCAAGTCTTAGATGAAGAACTCCCATACCTGATTCCAATAAACCAATTTAAATAGAGGAATATACTGCATTGAAGAACCATATTCAAGCACTATGTGTTTTGATTTGGGTGTTAGGGTATAATAAGAGTTTAATAACTTATATAGTATATAAATACCCTTAAACAGTAAAAACGAACGTCCTCACACTTAAATACTTCGTGTGAATTTACAACTTCATCCCTCAACTAAACAAAAAGATGTTACCAATATTAGAACACCATCGACACGCACATCGACAATCTATAGTCTCTCCCACGCACCGTCGATGGGGGGCATGGTTTTCTCCTACTTCTCCTCAACACTCAATTCTTCAGTCTATATCGAAGGAAACCAAAGAAGGGACCTCACCTAGCCGATAGGCTATCGTTTTGGTTGTCGATTGCCACTGCCTGGCAGTGTTGAAATCTATCTTGGGGTCCTCATTTAGGGACATTTTGTGGGTCATGTGCAGAGTCGTACCCGAACATTTCCGAACCTAGTATGTTTTCATACGATTTAAGGACCTATCACATAAGTGTAATCCAAAACAAACACGTAAAACTCAACGAAACATGCATAGATAAAAGGTCGTCAATAAGCAAGCCTTTTGAAAGTCATGGACGTTCTTGGACATTTGACCTCCAAACATCACGAAACATGACACACTGCCTATATACATTGTAATAACTCATTTAAGGACTTTATAATTTCATTAATAATGTATAAATACATAAAACCACATATGAGGCACATAGGTCACTTAGTGTTTCTTAAAATTTAACATCCAATACACCTAAACTCTTAAACACTGCCTCATACCCACATTATAACCCATTTTAGGACCTTATACCATCACGAAGACCTTGCTAATACCTAGATCCACCTAATTCATTTTCGGGGTCATAAAATCTCCCCCACTTGGAAAACATTCATAACAAGGGAAAGACACCATATACACAGTTTTTAGGCATGACTAGATGCATGAAGAAGTGAAACTTCCCTAGCAGCCAATAGTCTCATATTTATAATGTGGAGGGCATAACATTTTAAACAAGACTATACTATATGTGGTTTATAAGACAATTAATACACTCCCTAAATTTTATGCTCTTATACCAAATTTTTCAATGACCCGCAGGTAGACCCTATAGAAGTTAGAGCATCCTTGTGTCATCACGACAAATGGGACTTCAAGTAGTCTAATATAATCCTCTCGTATCATTCATTGCATAATAAACATACTAAAATAGCTAAGAATTAATTCTTTCTTTAAACTTTAAGAACACTTCCATAAACATTACACAAGCAGAAGACTTTCATTTAAAACATCAAATTTTACAACATCCACTTGAACCATCTAAACTTTTGAGTATTCACACTTAGGAATAATCCAATATATGACAATAAAATAAAGTATATGACATAAGGGACCTGTGGATATTGTCCTCGAATCTATAAGGAATCACCAATACTTTATCATTAAAGCCTAAGAAACCTATCCATCCTCCATGGCACATGAAGGCTTCCATTTCGAAACACTTTAGTAAAAAAGGGATAGGAATGAGTTAGCACATTAGATGTTTTAAACATTGAATCATTCAAACATCTACTTGAACCGTCTAAACTTTAGACTATACACACTAGGGACTAATCCCATAAATGATGATAAAATTATGTATATGACATAAGGGACCTGTGGATATTGTCCTCGAATCTATAAGGACTCACCAATACTTTATTATCAAAGCCTTATAAACCTATCCATCCTCCATGGCACATGAAGACTTCTAATTCGTTATACTTTTGTCAAAAAGGTAAAAGAAGGGCTTAGCACATTAGATATACTAAGTATGAAAGCCATGCAAAAATCATGAAAAAGCTACATTTAGTAAATAGCATGATTTTCATGTATTTCGATCAAAATATCATACAATAAGCATAAGAATAACATTTAAAAACTTAGAAATACATAAGAAATCATTTTAGAAAAAAGCCACTTTTTTTGACTACATTACAGTGAATCCACTTCAGCTCACTTTAGACATCTTCATGCATGTAATTATCCCACATCAAGTTATCCTAAGACTCACTTAAACAATAAAAAGAGAGACAGCCCATACCACCTCTGTAGGCATGTCTAAATGATCGTCAAGACTACATATGATGAGTCACATACATACTTATAAGAAATCAACATATATATATACAGATAATATGTCATTTCCTCATCAAAGGCTATCAAAAGACTTACTTATGTAGATCAAGAAGATAATGTCAATGATTGACATCTTCAAGACTACCTTTATAATCCTTAAGACTTCTTAAGTTTGGATCATGTCCACATAATAATCATATTCCCTAACTAAATTCATTCTTATAACTTATATAGGTAAAATAAGAAGTGACCATTCCTATGTCCACTCAATGCCTTAACTAGACAACCCTTTACATCTCCAAATAAGGACTTATTCATTTTAATATAATTTCATAGTTAAGTAACTAGATTTATTAGTTCAATTAGCAGACATTCAAGACATAAATGACATTCAAGTAATGGTCTTGGACAAGACCTAGGGACTAACACCATCTCTGCCTATTATACAATGTCTAGATAGCGTCTCATACTACCACCTAAACTTTATTGAACTTCTCTAATGCTAATAATTATCCGCCATGATGAGAATAGAAAACAACCGGCATAGACCATGGTAGCGAGACATGGAATCCGGAGTTTTAACCTACTCCAATGAGGGTGTTCTACTTGACAATGGTACAACATAGACACATCCCATGTAGGCAGAAGTTTTAGGATTATGAAGAGTATGATTTGTAATCTAGTCACATACATAACAAGAAATATTTCCCTTACCATATTCACTCGATTCTAGACTTATTTCTTATAGATTAATTCACACATAAGGTTCACATAAAAGTGTTCCATAAAAAGTTTATAACCCTCTTACATTTACTCTATGAAAGAGGTCCTCCAAAGGCTACTTCCCAATGGCGACGAGAAGCTCATGATGCCTTTCGTAAGTATTAATATGATGTTGTTCCAGCCAATTAACCTTAAGTCCATCATTCCTTTACTTTAACAAATACCAATACGGCTTACGACTTCAACATTCATAACCTTACTCTCAAGTTCAAGGTTTCACATAAAAGACCATTCATCTAAGGTCACATGTAACATCTTAGGTCAAGACAACACATATCCACAGTCATATATATCTCAAGTAAGGGACACAAGTCAACCAACACAAGACACCAAATACATCACTTTAAATCATAGTACATGCCATTCTAGAAACATATAAATAGAACGATATTATCTTGAAGTAATCAAACACACTATGATAACATCGTAAATATTACTACATAGACTTTTACAGTCAAGTAGGGATAACAAAGACTCTACCGTATCATTATATACACAAGGTCAAAGTTATTGTATAACATCATCACATACATAACATCAATAGAACACATATACTTTAACATTTCATAACATGTAGATTGATATGATGATACTTCAATAACGAACTACAGAAATAGCTACATAACATCAAGTATTGCCGACAAAGCCACGTAAATTTCCATTACAATACATAACCCCGCCACCAAAAGTTCACCATACAATTAACAATAAAATTTAAGTATAAACAACATAAAAATAAAGTATATTGGTTATCTTACCACCACAACAACCTCAACACCTCAATTAGATGCCAAATGAACCAAGTCAACACCATAAGGCCCTTGCCCATGGAAATGAACATCTATTCAATACATAAATCATAATATTCAATGACTTTAAGTCAATACAATATATATTTATCAACATAATATCAATTAAAAATCAATTTAATACAATCCTTACTTTATTCAATAGCCCATATAAAATAACATTAGAATTCATAAGCATTAAGTCAATATATATTTGATAGACTTAATAGTAAAAAGATGTATGAATATTTAATGCTCAATTGATCAAATTGAAATATCCTGTAAACCAATTAATCCTAATCAATACATGAATAAAAAAACCCATAACAATGTACACATGAATTAATCAATATAAAAACATGATCACATAACCCATATTTTACTCAAATGGAGAGATCTTTGAAGATAAAGGGTTCTTGGAGATTTTAAATAAAAAACATCAATTATATATAAAGTACATCACATCATACCATTTTAAAACCATTTGTGCAAGAATCCAAGACTTAGAGTAGAAATTCGACTATTCATCCTTTTAAAATCTTAAAAATCAACTTTGAAATTTGCTCCAAGGTGATAGAAATCCTTATATGAAGAACTCCCATACCTTATTTGAATAAAACGATGAAAATTGAAGAAGAAATCCATTGAATAACCATCTTCAAGCTCCATCTTAACCTTGGACTCTCATGGAGGTTTTGGGAGGAATTTATTGACGGAATGTGTTTTGATTAGGGTGTTAAGGTTATAATGAGAGTTTAATAACTTATATAATCTCAAAATACAATTAAAAAATTAAAACAACCGTCCTAAAACTTAAAAATACTTGGGATGAATTTACAACTTCACCCCTGAACTTAAAAAAAACCTAGCAGCAAACTCACAACACCATCAACGCCCACATCGACTGTCCGTGGTCTCACCCATGCCACATCGATGGGGTTTCGTGGTGTGCTCCTGATGCTCCTCAACACTGAATCATTCATTCTCCATCAACTCCACCCAATGATAGGCCATCTCCTTGTCGAAAGGTCGTCGTTTCGTTAGTCGATTGGCACTGCATGGCAGTGTTTAACTCTAAGTTGTTGTCCTCTTTTAGGGCCCCTTTGTGAGTCCTATGTAGAGTCTTACCCACACGTTTCTAACGCGAATATCTTAGAATACAATTTTATTACCTATCACATGTGGTTCATAAAAAAATAACACGTAAAATTCAATCAAACATGAATAGACACATAAGGTCGTCTCAAGGCAAGCCTTTCGAACATCATGGACGTTCTTTGACGTTTGCCCTCCAATCTTCACAAAACATGAAACACTTCCTGTATACACTATAATAACTAATTTAAGGACCGTATAACCTTATGAATCACATATAAGCAAATAAAAGACATATATAGCACATATGACACTTAGTTGTCGCACGTCTTAATCCTCCCATGACGTTTGACATCCAATGCATGTAAAATCTTAGTCACTGCCTCAAACCCGAATTATAAACGATTTTAGAATCATAGAATATGACAAAAATAATGTTAGGCCCTAGCTCCACCTATGTTATTTTCGGGGTCTTACACATAAACATATTTAGGCATATATGTTCATAACTACATTAATAATATACATTACATGCATAGAAATAGGTAATGATGCATAGGAGGACTGTCCTTTCCTTATTAATCATGAACCTAACCTACTCATAGATATGTATTAAGTGGGTGTGTGTACATTGGTCAACATGATCAAGCCACCCTCTAAAGATTACAACACATTTACAACATTCCTTCAAATCTTGAGTCAAACACAAGTAGAGTATTTAAGACTATAGACTAAACACACCACATTTAGTCATAGGAGTAAAGTACATATTCCAGAATAGAATAAAACAATCCATGATTACTTTGATTAAATATTCATATAGGGTTCCAATAGGTAAGGATCATGCTATAAGAGCATTCATTAACATTAGTCATGTTAGACCTCTATTAACCGTAACATGATCAGCACACATATACATATAACATCATCTCCATACCTAGCTCATGCAAATAGTTTGGAGTGTTATTCATATACTTCACATAACATCAATTCACTTAGAACATAATATTAGGATCAAGGCTAAATCCATTAACTTCCTAAACATAGAAATAATAATATCAATCAATCTTTGATCTAAGTCCTTCAAGTCATATAATAACAATTAAACATGTACAACAATTTAAAAGCCACCACCATAAGTGAACCATACCAATCAAAACAATTTTATGTAATTTTTAGGTTAATTAAAGGAAATAGGTAAACTTATCAAATCTCCAAGCTATGATCATCATTGATCATTCCACCATAATTCATATTCAATTTATATATATAGTAATATCAATAAGAAATTCAATACAATCTAATCACAATTCTATAAATATGAAATTAAGATTACAAGACCCACATTATATATAGGCTAACTTTGAAAAATTAAGAGGATCATGCATTGTTCTTTAAAATTGTATAGAAATTCATCATAAAATCAATAGCTACACATATAATCATTATTAGAATACTTTTACAATAAATTTGAGAATGAACTCATTGGAAGATTTAAAGATAGGATTTTTGACTTCGAACCACATTTGGAAGAGCTTTGAAAACACTCCATAGATGAATGATTTTCTAGGAATGAAGGATCACCATGACTTCCACATTATAAAGGCCAAAAAAATCTTAGAAGAAATCCTAAATAACAAACCTCCATAGGTTGTTCTTAAGGTTTATTGACAATGATGGTTTTTGGGATTTTTGGAAGAAGAAAGAGTTTTGGGGATTCTTATTTCTTAATGGATGTTTTGATTTTGGCTTGGGAAAAGTATTAAAAAGGTACAAGAAACAGTTTGTAACCGTCTCACTTAGATACCAAAACACCCCCATACTTATTGGGTGAGCCTCATGTCATGCGCACGTCAAATTGTCATACTCTATGCCACGGATGCGACGCGAGGCTAGTTCCGAAGTGTTGCTGTTGTACTCTGCCTTGGGAAACCTCCTTCTCCAAATTTTGTGTCCTCCTTGGGGGAACTTAGAGAGGTTCTCGTGGTGTTTTACCCGGACATTTTGACTCGTTACATGTCTAATAAGATACTGGGGTCAACTACACTGATTTTAACTTAAAAAACACTTAAAAATAAGCCAAATAAAGAGGGACTTACAAACATGTGTAAAGACTAACTTTAGACATCTTGGAATTTCTTCGACGTTTGATGACCTCCAAACCTCTTAAAACAATTATACAAGCTGTAAAACACTTTATTAACATGTTATTAACTCTTTTTGACACATGTGAGTATTTTACTACCTTAATTCATTTTGAGGGTTGTCACAAAACCAATCATGTAGATTCAAACTAATCATAGGGGAGCATGAATCCTCAACCCTAAGCTATAATGAGAATATATCTCAAGCTGTTTGTATGAAATACACTATAACGTCCTAGAATGAACTTAGGTGAACTAGAGCCTCATGATTGTTTCTTTATATAATTTTGTATTCAAATGAGTTACTTTAGCGTGCTTAGGCAATGTATGAATATTGGTTAAGTTTGAAGGTCAAACATCCTTGACGTGTGGAAGGTGTTCCTTAGAAATTATTCTTGAGTATTCTTGCATTTGAGTGAGTTCTAAATGTTCATTTTGCTTGAATTGATGTGAGTTGTTAGTTAGACCTATATGACTTATATTAGGGATTTAAAATTCGGGCACGACACCACCTAAGATTCATAAGGGGCCCTAGATGAAGGACCCAATACTTTGATAAAACTTCTAAGAACACTGCGCAATCGACGGAGCAGTGTATTGAGCGTAGGTCCATCGACGCCCCATCAAGTTGCACGGCGATTAATACTTAGTGGGAGGTCCAGACCTCCCTTAAAAAATCCTATGACGCCATCAACTACCAGCAACACGGGCCTTCAACTCATTGATGCCTAGTAGCTTTGGTCGTTGATTGGCAACTTCCTAAAGTTGTGAAAGCTACTGCCAACTTGGTGTGTTTTATATATATCAGCCCAAGTCATTTATAACCCAAGGTACCTATTTTTAGTGTTTTTAATTTAGATTAAGTTAGTTTTAATCCCTAGACTTTGACATGACAACACACTTCAAATATTCCAACTCCCTTCCTAAAGAAAACTTTCCCAAAGTCTCCATTTAAGCTAAGACTCAAGGAGGGCAAGAAGAGTTGGCTTGGATGTGTTATTTCACAAAAAAATTTTGTTCCTTTTGTTTTAGGCATGGTATCCTATTCAACACTCTTCTGTTAAAGGAGTCATTCCCGAAAGATTTCAAAAAGGGTTTTCAAACTCAAATTTCTTCTATCTTGGATTTTAAGCATGGGTCTTCTTGTAAAAGTGTTTTATTGATTTAAATGTATTTATAATTTCATGAATTGATTATTATCATGTTATAAACCAAAAGAACTCATGTATATCAATTTTTCAAACTTTTAGCTTAAGAAGTCGGTTAAATGAGAATGTTTGGGTAAGGTATGCACTTTAATTTTTTTTTTTGTTTAGCTACTCCCCTAAGGGACTTATTATAATTAAACATTGAGAAATTTATTATAGTGAAATATGGATTGGGTAAATGGTGAGTTTCCTATACTATATAGTATTTACGATGAATTGATTTTGAGTGGTACGGTCCACCTTCATGGTAGTTGCATTTATTTGATGAACTTGATATTAGTTAGTATGTTTTGTGAGTGTGGCTTTGAAGTTCTAGTATATTAAATGAAGTGATATAGAAGGTAAGTCTTGGCTTGTATTTCGTGAAGTTTAATAGTATGTTTGTCTTAGATTATGCCTAGGTAAAGTATATGATTTGTGAAGCATGTAAAATGTGTAAACTAATGAATGTAGAACAAAAGCATGTATAAAATCTAATGCTTGTTAAATGATGCTTATATGCAAGATGTGCTCACAAGTACACACACACAGTTGAATGAATCTATGGAGTGAAATTGAGTAATTAGAGAAGTTTTGAGGTGAACACTCTTCGTGAGTTGATATGAAGTGTTTAGTAGCAACCTCACTATATCCTAAGATCTTTTTAAGATAGCTCGGAGGATGAATGCCATTCGTGAGTTGAGATGTGGTGTTTGGTAGCTATCCTTATCATATGGTTTGAAGTGTTATTAATCCATGGGGGTTATATCTTGCACCATGAGGATATGAAGAAGACGTGGTTACAATTCTAGAAATGAGATATATTCCAATGTACCTCATGAGATAAGCACTCCACATTAGTAAAGAATGACTACTTAGTAGCAATCTCTTTATCCATTAACTATGCTCCCTCATAGGTGTAGCCATTTCAAAATTAATGTAAAAGATAACAAGAATGAATCACTCTAGGCAAGTGAGGATCCCTCATCCGATAGAGGTTAATATCGGGTTTCCATGTCTAGCTTTCATGGTCTATGTCGGCTAAGATAACCCGCCATAAAATAATTGATTGAACTAAGTCTTCAAAAAAAACGTATTACTAAGAGTAGGTTGTGTTATGGGAGTCTATCTACTCTTTGCCCTTTGTAGGACCTTTCTAAAGGGAAGACTTTGTGCTAAACCTTCTAGAAGAATGTACTACTTAGGGTAGGTGGTGGTATGGGACACAATCTACTCATTGCACTAAGTAGGCATTACAAATATAGAGACTTTGGTTGTTTGTTGGGTTCTTT